AGAAGTGACGCTAGTGAACGTAAGGCCGAAGAGGAAAGAATCATCAACGAGCAAAAGGCACAAATCACTGCCACAAATGAGCTAGAGTAAGCAAATATTGTATCTGACGTCTTCTACACTGCTAATATTCACAGGGACGACGCTCAACGACAAGAGATTGAGCTTGCAAAGGAACGCGAGGCAGCCCAGGCTCGTATCAAGGCCTTAGAAGACCAAATGAAGGCCGGAAAGTTGAAGAAAGAAGAGGAGAAAAAGAAGAGGAAGGCTCTTCAAGCTGAGACTAAACAACAAGAAGCTCGTCTCGCTGCTCAACGTGCAGAAATTGAAGCCGCACAAGCACGTGAAAGAGAATTGCAACGTCAACTGGAAGCTATCGATGATTCCGATTCATCTGATGATGACGAAGGTCCAGAGCAAGTTACCCCACAAGCATCAACGCCCACTCAAGGAAGTCAAGAACTTGAGCGCAAAGAACCTTCTCCACCACCTCCTCCACCTTCAATCCCAGCTGTTGTATCGCCAGTTCCTGCTGCTGCAACAACAATTAGTCTCCCATCACCAACCCCACAAGTTACTAGCCCTGTTGTCAGCCCTCCAGTTGATACAGAGACCCGCAATCCTTTCTTGAAGAAAATGGCTCAATCCGGTGACGCACCTACCGCATCCACTGCATCTAACAATCCATTCCATCGCCTTCCTGCTCAAGAATTTTCAACGCCTGCACCAATTCAAGTTCAACCAACAGGTAACAGGCCTTCTCGCGTTCGTCCGGAAGAAGATGATTGGGATGTTGTTGGATCTGACAAAGAGGATGATTCCTCTGACGATGAAGGGCCTGGTGCAGGTGGCGCGCGTCATTTGGCATCAATCCTTTTCGGAACCATGGCACCTCCTCGCCCCTTGTCATCCATGGGCAACGAAGCCACACCTGCGCCTGAATCTCCTGCTGTAGCTTCTCCACCAGCGGCAAGTCCACCACCTCCACCTCCAGTACCTAACTTCAATGCTCCACCACCCCCTCCAATGCCATCAGCCAGTGCGCCAGGTGGTCCTCCTCCTCCACCACCTCCTCCGCCAGGGATGGGCGCTCCACCTCCACCTCCAATGCCTCCAATGGGAGGCGCTCCTGCTCCACCAGCAGGTGGACGACCAGCTGGTCTCTTGGGTGAAATTCAAATGGGACGATCATTGAAAAAGACACAGACTAAAGATAAGAGTGCAGCTGCTGTTGCTGGAAGGGTCTTGGACTAAATACCTTTTTAAGCACTGAAAGAGACAAGACAAAATGGAGCTTTGTGATTAGAGAGGCCTGAGAGAATGGATTGTATCATAAAGTACTTTTGGTTCATAGTATTGGGCAAGGGGGCATAGGTATGGGAGGTATGAAACAGGAGATATAAGAGACGAGCATAATTTGTAGTCGAAGAAGTAGCAATTTGAAGATATTCGTTCGTTTTGATATTTATCTGATGTTTTTATCGCCAGTGTAAGTTTTGTGGCTTTGCTCTTGAAAATGATATTTATTGAAGATCTAGATTTCTATCTTCACATTCCGATTCAGCTAGTCTTGTCACAACAGAGCCCATTAAAAATTCTTCCATGAGTTATGCATAGATTATGGAGCCTCGACTAAGAGACTTGAGGCTCGTTAATCCTTCCAAAAAAGAGAGATTCTCTCATATGTTGCGTTTGGGATGAATGCAAGGGAATTACAGTACCCTGTGGGGCACCACGCATAATTATTTAACTAGCTAAAACTCAGATGTCAAATCTGACCTGCTTTATTCAAACAACCGTTCTCTTTCCTTCAATCCAGAGCATTGTTCATGATAGTTCCCATAACCTTAAAATGGAGCTCCAATAGTTTTGTCCCGCAACTCATCCGCCTGTCCATATATCAATTGTTCGCTCGCCCACGCTCTATCTTCTGGATTCATTCTCTCCAACATTTCCCTAATCCTAGCTTCGGCCTCCTCCTCCATCCTCGCATGCGACATTTTTTCCGTGTCTCGATGGGATAATGGTATACCTCTGAACGGTCTGGGGAACCCTGGTATATCTTCCATGACTCGCATTTCCAGGTCCCCGCACTTTCCAGATTCGAATTCCCCCCCGTTGTATACTGAATGAGGCCATATCGTCGGTCTTGATCTGCGTTTGCGATGAAACCAGGAAAATCGCAAGTGCGAAGATTCTGGGCTCAAGGTCGAATCGTCATCCCTGACAGGATGTAAGAAGCGTTCTGGAACGGGAATTTTTAAGCAGAGAATGAGGAGGAAAGCGACAAATACGCTCACTGAAGCGACTATAACCGGTACGACAACTGCCGAATTGATATCATTCGAGCCAAAAGGTTTTGTAGGCAGTGAGGTGTCCGTTGGAGAGGCAGGTACATCGGTGGGAGTAGTGATGGATAGAATATCCGCCATTGTCCAGGCATATTGGGAAGCCAAGAGCGAGGCTAAAAATACTACACGTCGCATCGTGAGACAATGAATCCTTTTGCCTGATTCGAAGGCGCGAGGAACGACATTTGTGCTCTGCGTAAAGTAGCACACACAGCAAACGAGGCAAACGGAGCAAAAGACTCGAGTGTGAGCGAACACGGATATTTATTCATTTGTCTGGAGAAGGAGAGGTCCACACGGAAGACTAGCTGGAAGAGAATCATGATTATTATTTTATCCTAGCTTGGTTCCTTCGCTGCAACCCCCGCAAATACTTCCTTCACCGTACCATGATATGCTAATCTTGTGCCACCGTGGTTAGGGATTCCAATTGATGGCTGTAGAGATCTAGCCTATTTTACGAAATACACATTGCTATGCCTCTTTAATGCAGGAAGTGAATGAGTGGCTTGTGAGATACTAGGTTATTATTTTTGTTGAGTGCTATTATACTACTATTACATCCTAGCTATTGAAGGGTTACATTGCATTTTTGATACTCGATAATTAGAACATCTCTGTACTTAAGATGTTTCTTCTACCTGGAACCCCAGCACTACATCATTATGCTTCTCTTTGCAGATGTCTCATTTATTGCAGGTACAGCTATATGAGTTTCACCACGATTATACACACAGTATAGCGCTTACTAGAAATCTAGTGAAGATCATATAGTCATCAGCTTATGCATCTAGTAAGTCTTAAGTAGACTAGACTCAATCAATACCCTCATAATAAGTACTGGGTTGTATTCATCCGGAAATCAAGCACATGGTCTTCCGATATAGATACACACGCGATTTCTCTCATGATTCTATCACTTCCAGTTCTCAAGCAATTTAGTAGTTTGGATCAAAGGAATAATACACATAAGGAACAATCCATACCACAATATTCGATTGGTGAAAAGCAATCAACAACCCTCTCCTCTCCCACCCAAATCCAGACGTTTCTGCACCACCCCGCTCATCTCAGCAGATGAATCATCAGTCTAGATAAAAATCGGTTAATCACTCGTTTGCCCACCCACCCGCGCTCTATACTAACCTCCACACTTCTCCTCGTAATTTCCCCGCAATCCTTCGTCCTGTTATCTTCCCGTCCCAAAGTCTGTGACTCCTCCCCCATTTCACAAAATCAACGAGTTAACAAAACCACATTCATCTCACGTCGCGAGACATCCCCCAACGAACCAATATCACGCGAGCAAACACACAGAGATTTCTTCTCACCAGAAAATTCGCCCTCACATGCGCAATACTACGACACCTTTTCGTGTAGATCCTAGCTCCGCCATACGAGATGATTGGTTGTATAACCCCGCGATGAGCAGCTGACAAGCCCTCAAGCCGGAGCTTTAATTGGTGTTAAGGGTGCTGAGGATCTTTGATATGCCATCTGCATGAATATTTGTTAGGGCGTGTGCCAATTTTGTAAGTACGTGGTGGTTTGAGTTCTTTTTCCATTTTTGTGGTATACAACGTGCTGTTGTCGTTCTAGCTCTTTCATAGACGGAAGAAAAACTCCGTTCTCCGATTACATTTGTGATATCAAATTATAATGTGTGGAAAGATGAATAACTTAATCCGTAGTTGGAACAGCGATTGATGATCGAGACTATTCGAGATCCTCTCACGATCACGATCACGTACACGTACGGAGTACATGTATGTATCTACTACCATCAACCAACCCCAACTTAATACCAAATACCAAATATCAAATAGACGAGCCTAAAATTCCCATTTCGACATTTTGACGTGATACTTAGGCATGAAATGAAATGTTCCCAAACTCACAACCTTGGAATTGAATACCTACAGCGTGCAGTATCATCCTAGCTTGCATGCGCACAGATATTAGTTGGACGTTGTGTCACCCCCATAGAATTTATGGGAAACTGTCTCCTCATAAATTGTAATGTGCATATACTGTTGTGGTTGCCGAATACTACTGTATATATGTCGGTATCAAATATTGAATATCGGTAGTGATATACTGCCGAGAAAATAACCTCGCCGATGCTTTGCACTAAGGGTGCCGAATCAGTATCACGAGCAGGTATTGAGTGTTGTCTGAATCTCGTTGCATGTATTAGATTCGATTAATGAATGGTTCCTATCTGATTTTGTAGCGTTACTTGCTATATATGTGCATCACGAATTCGGAGGACGATCTCATATCGTTTTATTGACATGGCACAGAGATGCAAGTGTCCAAATCATACAAGATCGCCCCCTCCCCTTTACCTAGGGGTTGTAACTGTAAATTTCAACATGTCAACAATGTGGGAATTGGAATCTGATCCAGACTACAAAAGATGAGAGATTTCCGATTTTCACATATAATTTGTCGGGGAAGCATATGAATCATATGACAATGATACTCAAATAACACCGCACAGTGCTTTATGATTAGCAATGTAACGTAAAGAGCTATAGTAGTCTAATAACAGTATAGTATAATTCCAGCCGGCGTTTCTCTCCCAAACATTCTCTCAAGCCTCGAGAGTCACCCCATGACAGAATACACAAAAGCCACCCAGTTCATGCCTCAATATTTGGAGAACGGACCCCTGAAGAGCCAGTCACCTACCTGCTCTAATATTTCATCTGTTCTGAGTTTCCGCATAGCCTCTGCATCAGGTCCCTTGCCATCCATCAAATCATGAGTAAAAGCATGGCGAACATCCCTTACTAGCGTCCATTTACAGCTATCTTTTTCAAACCCATACATTCCATCTTCGCGTTCTTTTTCATTCAAACCGGCAAGATCAAAAGCTGTATCTCTAGCTTCCTTGGCTAGCATATCGTACTCAGCCCCTATTATATATATCCATTTAGGTATATCGTTCCTGCTCACAAATCGAGTGCTCAATAATGGATCTCGAAGATTCTGACCAACAGGAATATGACCCCATTCGAATATCGGTCCAAAATCTGGTAGATCATCCAAGTCCTTTGCATTCCGATATGGGCGCGAGGCTTTCTTCTCGTCCGGCGTGAGCGTGAAGTCCATTACTGGATACCAAGCTATTACCCCATTCAATCTTTCTCGCAATCCAGGTACTTGAGCAGCGGACAAAGCCAAGTTTCCTCCTGCACTAAAACCTCCCAAGACCACACGCTTCTTGTCAATATTCAGATCGGGATTGTCGATTGTGGCTTGCGCAATAGCAACAACATCGTTTGTCAATGCCGGGAACCTATTTGAAGGGGCCTGACTGTATTCAATACTGACAATGATAATATTGAAACGATTCGCCATCCTAGCACAGATCTCATCATCGAATTCGGCAGACATCAAAGCATGCCCTCCACCGTGGAGATCAAGATATAGTGGGAGTGGTTCATCGTCAGCTTGCTTGGCCGCTGGAACAAAGATTCGCGTTCGCAGATTTGGTCGACATGGATATGCCAAGAGCTTGGTAGGACGAGATTCAGGAGGTGTTGGTCGCAGAAAGCGCAGGATTTTGAACGTTACTACAATAGCTATCTTCAATCCCCAAAGCTGAATGAAATACCAGGCACGAGTGAGGATTGGAAGTTGCGGCTGGAATAGATCTTTATTCTTTTCAACGCATTCACGTTCATACTTATTAGAAACCATCTTGCGATCTGTGATCTCGTGAATGTAAGTTAAAATAAAGGGGCGAGAATATTTAAATACTGTTCAGTAGAAAGATCCTATACCTAGTTTGAGACAGTCATCCTATTGGAGGATAGTACTGCAAGTACAAGGTTGCATTGGAAGTAGTATCGCGCATTTGCGAAACTCTTCGATACCAACCAACTTACCATATTGTCTTGTTCAATGGTCTCAATATAATATCGAATCGAGAGCTTTTTAAAAGACGTGTTGTATGAAATCACAATTCAAACAACACTTGGGACGAACCAAGCTTTAACCTTAACTAATATGCCCCACCAAAAATTGCATATAACACGTGATTGATGTGGAGGGAAGACGGCAACCTTTTTTACGATTAGAACTTCCCTATTGTTATTGACATGAAAAAGGCCAAAAAGTTGATTTGAAGACGAAAATGACAGAGAACATCAAGAGTCTGGTTGATTGGGCCACAGCTTCTGGGGCTTTCCTTCATCCCGATGTTGAAATATATAAAGATGTAGTAACAGGTTTATCATTCAAGGCGCAACAGACGATAGCTCCTCAAACAAGTATTGTACGATGCTCATATCAAATCTCTCTATCATATCTAAATGCAACTGGCACATATTCTCAATTTCCCTCTACGGATCCATTTCCTGTTGAGTTCTTAGAGAATTTAAAACAAGAAGATCCCAACATTATTGGTCACTTTTTCCTCATACAGCAATATCTGAAGGGTGATCAATCTCCATGGTGGCAGTATATCAGATTACTTCCTCAGCCGAATGATCCCAAAAGCCTTGGGATTCCTATCTGGTGGCCAGAAGAAGATCAAGAATTCCTCACCGGGACAAATGCAGAACCTCCACTTCAGAAGCGAGAACAGATGTGGAGAGATCAGTGGAAGAAAGGGGTTGTGCTTCTGAGGGAATTGCCAAACCATAAAGAATACAGTTATATCTTGTATCAATGGGCTGCTACTATATTTGATAGTCGAAGTTTCCGACCATCCTTGACAGTTTGTCCTGAAGCTTTGAGTGAGAGCTCTACAGATACAGATCTTAATCTAGATCATATTCGCAATGATAGGTTTTCGATCTTGTATCCACTTGTCGATATAGGCAATCATCATGGCATCAATCAGGTAGAGTGGAGAAGAGACCCTATCTCCAATTCTTTCGATCTAGTCCATTCTGCTGGTGTCCTACAGGGAGATCAAATCTACAATTACTATGGAAATAAATCAAATAGCGAATTACTAGTTGGTTACGGGTTTATTCTTCCAAACGATCTTGTGAATCGAAATGTTGCCAATCTTAAATTGACTCCAGATCATAATGCTATTCGGTTACGCAGAAGTCAGAATTGTCACAACCGTCCAGATCCAAGACAGCCCGAGGAGGAATTCATGTTTGCCGTGCAACCGCCATCTGCGAATAGGTCACAAGATTCTAGAATCATGGAATTTCGCAGCTTTGGAGAAGGTCTAGTGGATCTGATTTGCTGTATTGTAGCAAATGAACGAGAACGTTCATACATGTTGAAGTTTCCGGAAATATGCCCAGAGAGAATTGCACAGCCATTCCAAAGCCCTCTATGTAGAGCAGTGTTACAGGCAATATTCATTATCCAATCTAAGCTTGCATATGAAATCGAGAGGCTTGAACAAATCGGTGCGAGTCTAAGGTAGACAATCTCCGTCCCTATCCTTGATCAAACTAACAATAACTCAGCCCTCCTCAAAATCCCAATCAATCCCTCGCTCTAAATTACCGGAACCTCCAGCTCACCACCTTACAATCCGCTCTTCAACCTCTAGATCTCCTAACCACTCCAATCCTCACCCCATCTCTCGAACCCTCCGCATCCTCTTCAACAGGAAATTTGAAAATCCTCTCAATCGAACAGGCCTACTCACTACTTACCCAACACTACCCATCCCTCTCTACAAGCATCCACAATGTCATAGCCTCAGACCAAGAAGAAGAACTCCCTCTAGATTGGTCTGTCCTTCTCGAAGATTGGAACTTCACATACTGGACTCTGTGGGTTTATATCATCATACTCAAACGATCTGATCAAAAGACTCTTGCAGCTATACACCCAGCATTGGAACAATGGATTCGAGATAAAACTTTGTGAGTTTTTTCTCCTCGTCATTTTCATTTTCATTTTCATTCCACCTCTCCCCTCACCTATCCCATCCTTCCCACTCCCCTCCAACCCAACCCAGCCCAAACTAACCCACCAACCCCACCACCATAGAATCTCCACCCCACTCCCCACACCCACCTTCCACGGCGCCCCCGACGAACACGAAACCCTCACAACCACCTTCTCCCAACTACAAGCACTACATCCCGAGCTCTCCGACCCCCAAAACGTAGATCCCGAGCAGCTCCTCCATCTCGCAAGTTACGTGGTCAAGGAACAGGCATTCATGGCGCCGTATGTCATGATGGATGGAACGGCGAAGGGAAAACGCGTTCCGCAATTGCTGCTGTGTATTTGGGGTGAGCAGGTGTGATGGAATGGAGGATTGGAGGAGGTGGGAAAAGTTTTTTTGGGTGTTATTTGTGATTTTACGCCAGATAGATGGATGGATGATTGGTATTCGGGTTGTGGGACTAGAGATGGGAAGTATCTACACGACGAATTTTTCTCTAGAGTCTGGTGTGTGTAGTTTTCTCGACTCAAGTAACGACAAGGGTCTTATAGGTTTCGAAATAGACGTGCTATTCTCCCAGATCTCAAACATGATGAATTTCAAAACAAGCTAAAATTTACTCTCTTGATGCAATAATACAATACTTCAAACACTGCATTGCAAGCAAGCAACCCACAACCTGTAACATATCACATCCACCCATCTCATGATCCCCAAATCTCATCCATCACCTCCCCCGCACAAACCTCCCCCCACTCAATCCACACCCTCTCACCGGTCCACACGCCTCCCCTCCCTCCTCTCCCATCTACCCATATGCCGCCTTCCTCTCCCTTTTTTCCCTTCCCTTCCCCATCTCCTCCCACCACCCATCTCTGTTCTTCCACCCCTTTCGTACACTTTTCCCAGAGTTGTTTTCCCCATGTTTTCCACCAGGTTTTTTCCCAAATTTGTTTTTGCGAGGTCTCTTCTTTTTTTCTGTATTCCTCTTTTTCTTTCTCTATCTCTTTATTTGTATCGTTGCCACTCAGACCAGAATCAGAATCCGAACCCAATCCAAAAGAAAAAGACACCGGAACCCGAGGATTTGAATTTACCCCCCTGAACCCACCATCACCATCACCATCGCTATACGTAAGAAGTGGTATAGAATCCCACGAAATATTCTTCTCTCTCGCCGCTCTGAGATCCTGGACCGATTGACTGATTTCTTTTTCGTTATCTGCGTCTTTATCTATATCTATATCTGGGATTCTGCATAAATCCAGCGGTCCGGGAATATTTTCCCATTCCCCAGATAACATCGTGATATCTCTTACTGGCCCCTTAACAACTCCTCTTCTACTCACGATCCGCTTCTCCTTCTCACTAAATGTCGTAACCTTCAATTCTTCTCCCGAATTTTCTACGGTATAAAAAATCCCCAACGTATAATCTACTCCGATACCAAACTCCCCATCACTCCTCTCACTATTCCCCCTACCCCCAACGTCCGATTCCCATTCATCCCTCCACTTTGTTGTCCACCCCTCCCCCTCTCCTCTCCAACAATCGAAACCCTCAAAATCCCCTCCAACCACCCCATCCATCTCCAATCTTCCACACTCCGTCTTTCCACCCTCCTCCCTTCCTGTTCTCCAAAAATCTGCGCCATAATCTCCTGCACCGAACATCCCTTCATTGCTTTCCCATCCCCATTCCGCTCTTGCGCAATCTCCCATGCTCGACTCCAAAGTGCCTTCATATCCCGCACTTTTCCCATCGCCAACGAGCTTTCGATAAAGTGAGGATACTCCCTATATTGATTTATCTTTCCTCCTTGATTCTTCAACAAGGGGAATTGAGGAATCATATTCTCATAACAAGGTTCCCCCCTCCTCTCTTCTGCATCTCCTCGCTCACCCCTATCCACCACAGCACAATCTTTCCTCGCGGCAAAAAGTACTTTCTGTGTATATTTCTGCTGTCCCAATTTCCTTATCATTTCAGTGCCCGCCTCAATACCCTTCTCAACTCCGTATTCTTCACGTAACTTCTCATTCACTTCCCTCCTATTCCGCAAAAATCTCTCAATGATGACTTCGCCCGGAAGCTGCAGCCATGTATTCGCATTCAAAAGTAGCACTAAATCATCATCTTGCATATCTTTCCCATTGAGAAAATCAAGCATATCTTGTATTTCTTGTAGCGCGGATGCTTTATCTTCTTTCTCCTCAGTTTCATCCGATTTCAATTTGAAGCCTAGGAGTGTTAGAGGTGGATAATTTAGGATAGATGCTGTGAGGAGAGTTTTGCAGAGATTCAACGATTTCTTGCAGGCGGGGATTATAAGATGAAATTTTGGGTTTGTATCTGTATTGGTGTTGGTTTCATTGTTAGGGAATGGGATAGTGTCGTCCCAGTCAGAGTTTTCGATGATCGTGTATGGTGCGAAAGCTCCGGCCAATTTTTCAGGAACATAGGAACCTAGTTGTGATGCTGAGTGTTGGATTTTATACTAAAGGAACATATTAGCGGGCTGGGCTTTGGGGAGGATATGCATAGATATTAAAAGTTGGAGATGATTCTCTGCTTGATTTGGTTATAAATGAATCATACTTACTGCATGCCATTTACCAAGAACAATGAGAATCACAGAAGAGATGAAAATTAGAGAGAAGAAGATACGACTACGGAGTCGACTGGGTCGTTTTAATTCTCTTAGTTTATGAGCCATGAAACTCATGGGTGAGATTTTCCGCCTGGCAGTTTCGGGAACAGTCCCATTCTCTGTAGGAAACTCCTCATAATTCATCACTAACCATTAGCCACGAAAAAGCAAAGTAGAGATTTCTCGTTTCCTCAAATTTCTCACCTCAATTGACTCATTGATGTGTTCTCCACCTCAAATGAGCCGAAGTCTCAGAAGTCAGAAGGACTGCGTATGATATCAAGTACAGTAGAATAACGAGCTGAAAGCAAAGAGTGCCAGAGAAAGAGTTTAAGAATGGATTAAAATTGTGAAGACTGTAAACGTTGGAAGTCGTTTGACTGGAATGATATCAAGCAAGGGATGAGGCAAATGCTTCGTCGGGAAACGCAACCAACTACAATTAAACATGTTATTGAAGATTTCTTCCTTACGACAAAAGTTCTTCTTAATTTGGTACATTAATATAATATATTGAAACTATAGCAAAAATGATCATTGAGACCATTAACCTAATCTGGCTTCAGATCAATATAGGGTTGACTCAGCTTTTCTGGAGAATATCAAAATATGGTAAACGAGAATGGAGAACAAGCAAAGATTTGGGTATAACAATGAGGATTACCCCATTAAGAGCCTCTGAGTCGTTGCAGTTGATTGATAAACCCATATCCACTTTGCGTCCTATTCTCACCAATACCAGAAATTGACGTTTCTTGGTCTTGAAGAGCCTCGACTCTATGGCTTAATTGACCATTCTGTTCAGCATCCTTCAATAGATCTCGATGTCTGTCTTCGACCATTTTTGCAAGACTTTCGACAAGTTTACTCCTGGCCCGTTCTTCAGCTGTGCCTTTCCACACAAGTGCCAATTCTTTCAATTCTTGTACTCTTTTGGCTGCTGTCTCAATAGCATCGACTGGGTCATCCCCAATTAGCAAATCTGCAATCTCATCACGTAGTTTCTTGGAAACTTCTTGACCCTTTTCTTCGATGCTATGTGCTTCTGACCCCGGCTCAGGAGCGGAAACAGAAAGAAAGGATGAAGTGACCGATACTTCCGATGGTGGAAAGGTCCATGCCATTGCATCTCCAAATGTCTTTATAACAGTATCCAATCGTGACCGTACAAGTGTAAGCGTTCGTAATTGTGTCACATAAGGAGGATCGGCGATTTTGGTGCTGTTCGTGTCTTCTGAGGTAGGTGTTTTTGGCATGGTAGCTGTGGCAGATCGCGCCCTAGAGTCTCCAGATTTTGTTGGCCTTCTTGACAAATCATTCTCAAGTCCCCCCGGAACAAACTTTGTAATATCATCATGTAGTCCTTCGGTCAACGCTTCTGATAATCCCAATGTCTCTCCTCGTAGCACTTCCACCTCATAGGCCAATCGGCTTCCACTTCGCAAGATTTCATCGGTGAGTTGTGTAAGAGTAGTCGTAAGTCTAGTGGTGTGTGCGCTAAGATGTGAAAGAAGAGTCTGTGTCTGTGTAGACAATTCAGCTAAAGGGACGACATTTCTTGAAGACGACGAGGTATTCGAAGATTGTAAAGGAGGCAAAGTTGAATTGAGGTAATCTGCAGGATCAAAAGCTGGGTTCAAGAACGGTTGAAGAACAGGATCTGCAACGTGGGTAGATTTCGAAGGTAAATTTGGTTCTGACGTAGAGACGCCATTTCGAGATTGAGATTGAGGTTGAGGATGTTTGAGCCTAGGATTGTTATTTTGTGAAGAGGGAAAGGTTTTAGAATCGCAAGCCATTTTCACAGTGTATCTCTGATCGACCGAGTTGGAGTTACAATAGAGTAAAGAATGTTTCTCGTGTTTCGTACAATACCTCGAGAATAGCTAATAATATTTTGAGAGCGTATGCGTCGAGTTGGATGGTGTCAACCTTACGAGCTTACCACTTGGAACATTATTGTGGGACCAAACTTTGAGAAATCGGATGACTAATAAGAATAAATGGGGGACCAAAGCCGTGCATGAAGGCTCAATTCGGTCGACGACGGATGGAGCTCGAGTGGAGGAAATTGATGGCGGGGCATTGGGGGATGAATCTTGAATGGCATGGAACATGGCATGGCCTCCTAATAGTGGTAGGTGCGTTTGCATTTCTACAGGGATGATAGCTCTAGGCATCTAGTATCTAGTATCACGGTCTAGGTATGTCATCATGTTTCTTCTTCTATGGCCAGCCAGCCCATAGATGGATATTACTTCTTGTCTCAGACTTCACTTCACTTCACTTCAACCACTTCTCTTCTCTGACTTCACTCCACTTGTACTTCAATTTAGGTAGTGCTTACCTATCTTGGGCCTAGCTACCTACTACCTACTACCTACTACCTGCCTACCTACCTACCTACTTACATAATACTTACATTTTCATTTCATCTGCGTCTATCAAGAAGCATCTTGTCGATTCTCAAGGACCAGAGACTGTATTTGGGTCTCATGCTTGGTACATCAAAAGCTTCTTCGTAGGGATGTCCAAAGCCCCGTTTCGGTTGCAAGTCAGACCTGGTGGATGTTAAGGAGTGAGAGAAATGAATGAGTGCTGATGATTATGTGCTTATGCATTTATTACTTGTTAGTGATACGTCCCAACTTTTTGAATTCACTTCCAACATTCAATATCTATGAACGTCCAACACCCACTAGGTAGTACTACCTACTCCGCATCGTACCAGGCAACCGGACCATTTCGAAATCATCGACCAATGACAATTGACTTCTCAGATTCTAACCACTCTATACACCAAAATCAAGGCAACTAATCAAAAACTCTCATACAAGGCTGCAGGTCGATGATCTTTGTACGGCTCTTTCCCTTGTTACCTCCAGCTTCAGAACTTCTTCGATTCTTCAAAGATCTTTCGAAGAAGACTAATCTCTTTTGACTACAGTACAGGAAGTTGAATGTCATTCAATCTCTCCACGATTTAAGAAGCGGATCAAGACGTTGATCTACAAACCCCCAACTCTATCAACTTGATATCAATCATCTCAGAGGTACATCTTCAAGCTGTCGTCAAGTTAAGAAGACTTTGCTACTTTTCAGGATCCTTCTCACCACAATACCTCAAGAATAATTCTAACAGTATCTAGTAGATTCGTCAACGAGGCAGATTTACAATATCAAAGTTTGACCGAGGACTTCAGTTTTACAACAAGCTTCCATCGTCTTCTGAAGTTACATTGTCAAAGGTATATCCAGTAATTGCGCTGCACAATGACTCGCAAACAATTCCTAGCGGATGTTAAAGAAGCCTCTGAGAAAGGTATCCCTAATGTTACCTCAATCAGTCGAGGAGATGACGATGGCGATGTAAACTTTTGCTTCTTGCATGATTCTACAGAACCCATAGAAATTGGTCTCTTAGCACTGGGTACGTTTTACTATATCTCTAGCAAACAATCGAAACCTCTACTACGTAGACTTGTTCTTCATACTGACTTTGATAGATGTCTCCGAGTACCCAAGTGGGAATAATTTTATGATTTTCACCAAGTCAGAAGGAGCTCCAAAGGCTGTCAACGAAGCACTGGAACGACTCATGACCTCCTCAACTGGCGCACGTTTACCAGACCTGATTAGCAGTATTTCAAAAAAGCTGCAGATATTACTTTCCGCAGGTTCACGAAGGTCTCCTATCAGTCTTGACGAGGAGGATGAAGAGGATGAAGAGGTTGAGATGGAAGGCTGCGAAGATGATGAAAGCGAAGATGACTCTGGATTTTCTGACGAAGAGGAAGAAGATTTCCCAGACGAGCCTACAACCTTTTCTAATGGTAATACTGTATCGATATCGACTAGTAGACTCACATCAAAGGCTGCTGCACAACTGAACCGACGCATTCGAGCAGATCTGCGTACTGTCCGATTGCTAGGTCATCGGATCGGAATTTTAAGTGGCATGAAGGCTGAATCTCACAGTGGTATCCTCAGTATCTCCATTCAGGCAACTAAGCTGGGTTTATCGGAAGAGGCTATGCAAGCTTGGGACATTGAGCCTCACCAATATTTGACCTTACTTATACGCTACTCGGATGGGTACAAAACATACGAGGCACTGATTGCCGAACCAGCCAAAAATAGTGGAATCGAATTCCGTGTTGGAGTCTGTAATGGTTACAAGCCATCCGTCGCTGCAGCATTCTCAGCGTTTTCGGACTCAAAAGAGGTCGGCGACAAAGCTTCTAGCAACGATGGCTCGCATTCACAGAAGCAGAACGGAGGGTTTTTCAATTTATTCATCAGCAGCTCCTTGAACGAGTTCATCAATACGAAAATGATATCAATGCTCAAGATCCGCAACGCAACTGGTCTTGGATGGGAGAACGCAAAAAAGTTTTTGGATGAACGCCAAGGACGACCACTGGAAGAAAATGCAGATTTGTATTCTGACAATGGCCCCTCGGACAAGGATGCGATCGAAAGTCATGCATCTCGGATTTCAGCAAATGATCATCTTACCGATAATGACGGTGGCAGCTTGTCATTTCCGCTACTTGCTGCACAGTTCACGTTGATGTATCTAGTCCGCTGCACAGAATTTTGTCTCGTCTGCCATGACAAGATTACAGGAGGATTTGAGGCGTTAAAACCTTACGTTTGCGAAAAGCCATTATGTTTATATCAATATATGTCCTTAGGTTTTGGACCTAGTGTCGAACATGTAGGTGACCGTGGATTGTGTAGACCCAACCCAATCACTCAAAGACTAATCGTGTATAGGAGATTAAAACTCAGCCTTATGTTGTAGACCTCCTCCTGAACTTTTGTTATACCAGTGCTTGTGTAGGTCTATCTGTATATAATCTCCATGGCTCACAGCTGACTTTTTGATAGGGCGCTCGAATCCGTGAGTATCCCACAGGCATGAGTCTTTCTGTTCCCTCCGCCGTCGTCGCCCTAGCGGGGTATGTCGCACCTCAAGACTTCACCCCGGCCCCAGCTGTTGTAGAACAGCCAAGCAATGATCGTCGAGACAGAGAGTTCAAGGTCAAGTATAATAGCGAAGCTTGTGAGTTCACGTTCGAGGAAATGCCTGAGATCTTAAACCCTCCCGTTCGCAAAGGAGATTGGGTCCGCATTTTGCTTGGGCCCGGACCAGATACCGCAGTTCAAGCAATTCATTCCAGAGTAGAGGATGTAACCTCGATGCCGATTGTAAAACTTTCGCAACCAATCCCGCAGGATGCTCAATCAAGTACATTCCAAATTCCAGTGACCGGTCACACACGTACAGTCAACACGCCCAACTTAATTGCGGCTCGGATGTCTATTTACAATCGCAACTTTGACGAGATGTCCATCTCAGAAAAATGCAGTACTATAATCATGCTTCTTAACACTCTACCAACCATCCAGGAGTTAAGAGAATATATCGATCGACAAAGCCGAACCGAAGAACCGAGCCTTCGTAAATGGACAGAGCGTATATCCCCAGCTGCTCTGGGCTTACTGCGATGGGTTATAGCCTCTAATCGATCATGCCTTGTTCAAGTCGATAAATGTCCTGGTCAAAACGATAGTGTTTTGGCTGATGCAAAAATTAGACCAGATCAAAAGGTCTCTCAGATTGGGGAAAATTGGATGCAGTTTCGTTTCGCACAAGGATCTCCAGACAAGGAAGAGCGTTTCTTAAATGCTCTCAAAGAACAGCAGGCCACTTTGGATCCAAAGTATCCTACTCTATTTGCTTTTCATGGTAGTGGGCTGCAAAACTGGCACAGTATCATTCGACATGGATTGGATTTCAAAGAGACTCTCAACGGGCGAGCATACGGACATGGCGTTTACCATGCACAGGATCAAACTATATCTTGCCAATATAGTAATGTTCGAAGTTTTGCAGTAAGTATAAGAATCATCGCAATTGGTTTGGTCTAACTTTCAACTAGGGTTCCTGGCCTGGATCACAACTCAAAATCTCGTCTGTGATGAGCATTAACGAGATTATCAATTGTCCAAAACAATTTGTCAGCTCGAATCCATTTCTAGTAGTACAGCACATCGATTGGATTCAATGCAGATATTTGCTTGTTCAAATCGAAGGACAGGTGATTGCAACTCCAGCTTCAACCAAGTATGTTTCCCACTCAATCAATTCATCAATGAGGCACGAGACAATCCGCGATGATTGATGCTGACATATTTCATTTTTAGAGAGATCCAGCTCGAAATCGAGCAAGATCCCAAGTATACCGCAAGCGCCTTAAACAAAAAACCTATTGGTGTTCCATACTGCGCTGCCTCAGTTTCTAGAGCATTCCGTAATGATGGCATTAGCAGTTCTTCCCCATGCAAGAAACTGAAAGGGCTATCTTCTCTGAATGGGACTGAATATGTCAGCGAAGCAGAGGATATTGAGGATATAAAGTTTCTGGTTTCTGATGATGAAGATGAAGTGGGAATATTGTAAGCAAATTAACCCTCCCTTATACTTTGTTGTTTGATCACTGCATTTGAAAACGGCCTCGAAAATACCTTTGAAAGAGCCATCAGCAATCAAATCATACTATCTTGCCAACTACGAATTTTTGAAATGGGCTCTCACTAACTATTTGTACTAGATCTTCTGGTTCCAAGAATATAGAGGCTTCAAAAACTGAATTTGTTCCTGGATCACTTGATCAAAGTAAACTTCCGATGCTAGGCCCTCCAGCTTACGCTACGCAGTCTGCAACTATGCGTCTAAATAGGGAGTTAAAGGCAATCCTTAAGGTGCAAAACTCTACACCCCTTCACGAATTAGGATGGTATATCGATGAAAATCTTGTTGATAATATATACCAATGGATCATCGAGCTACATTCTTTTGAGTCCACTTTACCACTGGCCAAGGATCTCAAAGAATCTGGTCAAAACAGTGTTGTTATTGAAATTCGCTTTGGAAAAGAATATCCCCACAGCCCACCATTTGTACGAGTTGTCAAGCCACGATTCCTACCTTTTATGGCTGGTGGCGGCGGTCACGTAACAGCCGGTGGAGCATTGTGTATGGAACTTTTGACAAATTCTGGCTGGAGTGCCGTCTCCTCGATTGAGTCCGTTCTCTTACAAGTTCGTCTTGCACTTATGAGTATGGATCCAAAGCCTGCACGCTTGGAAAGCAAAAATCCACAGAACCAAGGTGAATATGGAACTCAAGAAGCTATGGCAGCTTTTATCAGAGCGTGTAACATGCATGGATGGGAGATCCCGAAGGACTTTCAGGACTTTGCTGCATCTGATCCTGGTCAATTTTAAGGGAAGCACCATTCGAGAACACCATGGGATGGCATTAGAGAATTGAAAGAAGGGAGATAGGAGTGACAGAGATGAAGGGAAAACGCGCACGGATTTAAGGTTTGCTTTTACTTTTTTGCTGCTTTGGTTTTGATTCCTGATTGGGCTGGCTGGCGTCATGAAAAGTCAAGATGGGATATTATGATGAGATGACTGGACCTGGGACGTGGAATAGATACCCAAACAAATATAAAGGAATGCTACAGGGAAAAATAGGCGTCAAATTGTGGAATGGGACGGTATGGTAATGGATGGATCTCTGGGGCTGAGCGGAAATCAGACTATCACCTTTGTGTAAGATTTCTTATAGGGAAATCTATATGACGGTTAGCTAGTTATTAGATGAGAAGCTCGGCAGATATATGAATCCTCCTCTTTATAAAATTTGTTATGTTTTGTGGGTCAGTGAGTGAGTGAGTACCCGGGTAAGTACTTTTTCTATAAGATGCTGTTTGATGTGATTGAAAGGCGTGATTGACGAGTGTATTTGATGGATGTGATTGATTTGAAAAGCTTAAGCTGTAGCTTCTAGGTATTTTTCTTGTTGCATGTAGAGGATAAAATGGAGGGATGTGATTTATGTAGGTAGGTACCCAGTGATTGTATTGTATTTTAATGTATTGTATACTAGGTAAGTTAGGGAATTGGATGAGGTGGGATGGGATGAGGTTAGATGAGGTTAGGTGAGTAGTATCATGTCTTTTTGTCTTTTTTGGAGACGGGAGACGGGAGAGGGAGAGGGAGAGGAAAGCTTAGATCATAATACTGTGTGATTGTATGTTGTGTGTTGCGTGTTGCGTGTTGCGTGTTGCGTGTTGCGTGTTGCGTGTTTTATAATAATATAGTGGCAGGTGTTGAATCGATTTGGGGGTAGTGAGGTAAGATGGGATGGGATGGAATGGGATGGGATTTAAAGTATTGGAAGAGGGCTGAGTTGAATTGGATTGGATGATTGTGAGGGTAGAAGGGAAGAGGCGATGAGTATATATTCAGGTACGCATGTATAGTTTTGTATGTGTAGTAGAAGTTGAGATGTAAATATAGATATAGATAGATATATAGATAGATACACCAAGAATGTCCAAAACGCCCGAAAAGAAATAAAACAACCACCTGTATGCTAAAATCCTTTTTTCTCTAACTTCAGAAATCAAAATATGCTGGCGTATGGTATTTACACTTTACGATTGCTCGATTCCTCACTCTTCACTCCTCACTCCTCACTCCCTAATTTCTATTCCCACGCCTCAAACACCAATCAACTCTCAATCTTCATAACATCTCATCTCATCCACTCCCGTCTCGCCATATTTAAACATTGATGTTGTGACCCCAGATGCCCTGTTCCTTGCGGGCACTATAGGTACTCACTGCCAAAATCTCCTGCATCTGTTCTATTCCGACCAGCATCTTCTTTCCAGCAACGAACCATCTCATGCCCTCTGTACAAGGAGGAGAAGTGAGACTTCCCTCGTAGGTCCAGAAATCCTTCGCATTGTTGATTTCTGTGAGAGCTTGTTTGAGATCGAGATCGAGCGGGATGCGCGTCGTTGCGTCTGAGAAGGAGGGGATGGATGTTAATGGGAAGGAGTCGAAGAATGTGGAGTTTGCCACGGTGCCGAAGGAGATGGGATCAATCATGAATGCGACGACGGCACGCTCGGCGCCGGAGGCAGTGGCGTGCACGAAATGGAGTTCGGCCTTGGAACGGGCAGAATCAATGGTGTGATCTGCTGGGGCGTGAATGTGCCAGCCTTTGAGGAAGACGGTTTCGTTGTCGAAGGTCATGGATGGGTTGCCGCTGAGATCAGTGACGTTGGTGGTGAGGGAGAAGGCGGGACCATAACCCCAGTTGTAGAGGGAGCCTGAGGTAGAGGTTGAGTAGTTGAAAGTTGGAGTGTGGGTTTTTGAGTAACCAGTGCTGGTGGTGAGATGGATAGGGGACTGTTGAGTGCCAGTTTGGCAAGTGGTGTAGTCTGATGGGTTGTTAGAATAGGAGCATGAGATGGAGGACTAAGCATGAAAACTTACTCTCGTTAATCATTCCCCAGTTGTAAGCAGCATCGTATGCCCAATCAGCAGGTCCATCAGCTCTCTTCATGAGTGATCGGCTGGAAAGATCATGATCGGGACAAGCCATAACGGCTGACAAGAGAGTTGCTGCGAGAATGAATTTTGACATGGTGAAAGAATGAAGTGTGATATTGAATATTGACTGAATGAATGTAGTAACTGAGTGTGAAAGATTGGATGATTGGATACTGTGTTACGAGAACAGCTCTAGTATTTATATATAGGAAGAACTTCTTCCATTGTCGACTTGAGATTACTTCTCTTGGCCATTTTTCACTGCCATCATGATATTCTTGGAACGTACGATGACACGATCATCACATAAAACGAATACGCTTACCAAAGTTCACTCAACGGCGATTTCGGTACCAACTTTCAAAATTGTCGATGGGTATGGCATGCAGAAATGAAGATATACTTTGCTTGGCCTGCAATACCAAGAGCCAAGCCGACTAAGATTTCTGTCAAACAGACGAAATTTTAGTTTGTTTGTCATACAGTATTGAATTTGAATAGTCGATCGAACAACATTCGTAATTCAGGCGTAAGAGATTCGCAAGGCCGACCCTTATCTAGCCAAGATAAACAATGAAGGAAATTTGGGGGCGCTTGCAGAGCCACAATTATCTCGTGATCTTTAAACTCTATCTTGCTCTCCTTTATGCGCTGTGAGGTAGCTTGGATCCGACAATTGCAAGCTGTGGAAGGCTGTGCACATTTGTTGCATCACAATATAACCATTCCAAACTTTAACCTCGACCATGAGACTTTGAGAATGCCTTGAGCACCGCATGCCACGAGGTGTTCGTCGAAGCTCGAGGATAAGGTAGAATTATGGAGTTTGTAATAATCCACCCAAAGCTATTTTCTCCTCTCCTTGAACTCGCGTCCCGCCATTTGGTTTATGCATGTTTGATAGGGGACATCTAGACTAAATCGCTTAAATTGCAATCTGTAGATGACTGAAAATAGCACCTGGCTTGATAATTGACGCCAATTGGATTACCAAAATGTATAAACTATAGCAAGCTTCATTCTGGCAATATAAAATTTCGTGCAGTGGCTTCATGTAGAGTTGTGATTGCGGGGTATAGGTATAGGTTCGTGTTGTGTGTAGAGTATTCTATGGCCGTGTGATTGTTTTGGCTGGCCTAGAGAAGTGCTAGTTCATCTTATTGTTCTGATGCAAGTGGACAGGACAACAGTCGCTAAAGTCTTGGAAGAGTAATAGAATTATTGAAACATTGAGAAACCGAGAATTCGGAAGCGAAACCAAATATGGAAAAGGTTCAAGATATTAACTAGTGTCTCGCAAGATCATCCGCTTCTTCCTCTTCTTCTATTTCTTCTATTTCTTCTAGAGCGTAGCGAAAAAGCCTCCACGGCAGTGGCCCAGCGGAGCGTCATTAATTACCTAGACTGAAGAAGAGTTTGAATGCATGATAGAAACAATTCTCTTCGTGTTATGTCCAGAACATCTCACTACTTTGAAGATTTAAAGATATTCATGTGGCGAGGAAAAAGGGGTCAGAGATTAAATTTCGCTGTATAAAAATAGAAAAGAGATAGAAAGGAATGATTGGATGGTTAATTCCGTCTGAAGTTCTAAGGGATACCTAGACAGGTAGCTAACAAAATCAAGAGAGGTTCGAAGAGTGAAGGGTGAACAGTGAATTTGCTATAAGTAAGACAAGACCTACCTACTCCGTATCAATGAAGTTTGAAGTTTGAGGTTTGAGGTTTGAGGTTTGAGGTTTGAAGTTGCTACAGAGAAAATCAGCGATAAGCTAAAGATAAGAAAGCTTCCACTGACGCTAAACCATATAAGTATTAGCGTCGGTAGTAGATGTGATAAACATCCGATCACTTTCAAGCAGGGATTCATTATCGTCATGCGCATAGTAACGAGCGAGGTGAGAGGCTCAGAGGCTCAGGTACCTATGGATAAGAAGGATACTAGTAATCGGATTGGATTAATACTATCTGCCGATTCCATTGCTCAGTCTTTCCCTCTCCCTCTCTCACTCCCTCTCTAACACCCTCTCTCTTCTATTACTTTATAGGAATGAAATGATTCAATTGTTTTACCCAAAATCTTCCTTGATATATCATCTATCTCAAAATCAATACTGCAACATTCTAGTCTGGTACTGTGGTCAATAATCTTCCATGTTGGAATTTGTGCCAATATCCTGAAAATCCTCAAAACCCTTCTACTTATTTTTATCTTGTTCTACTCTTTCCTCATTGTCCCTAATAATTACCCACAAACAAATATAATTAACGGAAAAACTCCCGATTTAGAAACCCTCACACTTCAGTCCTCATTTACTCCATCTCATTCACCTTCAATAAATATACGGGCGTCGCAAAATATTCTGGTAGTTATGGCTATGAGTCCTTCTCCTCAAATGTCTCCGACAACGTTCGGAAAACAAGTTGAGAAACAAAGGTCAAACTCTCCACCTCCGCATCAACTATCCAAAAGAGACAAACGTCGATCCGCAATGCAAGATAAACTGCACGAGATGACGGTTAGCTTTGCTTCAAATAGAGATCATCATTACCGCGACCAACTCAAAGGATTGCAAATCGATATGAATCTCATTCAGGAAGCTGACGTTCATGGCAAATACGCTCTTCCGGATGGCAATGAGGTTGAAGCCTTAGTTGTAGATGGTATCAAGAAAGTCAAAGGAATTGCTGGTCATCACCCATCTGCTGCTGGAAAAGAGTATGAATCTTTCGCAAGAGAAATCAACAACGCCATGGAAGAAAGGGACGTCGCATTAACTACGCATATGGTATGTGCAATTGTTTCCCTTGAGTCTATCCTTTCTTTACGATGAGCTTATAGCTAATGTCCTTCTTACAGAGGGACTATGAAGTCAAAGCAAATGAAATCGAATCTAGTTATGCTTATCGAATGCGACTCGCGGACTTGGAATACAAAGCTTTAATGTCAACCTTGAGAGATCGTTTGATCAATAAGCTCAATAGCAAGAAAGCACACTTGCTGAAAGATAAAGAGTCAATTGAAATTGGAGAGAGCAATGCTTTACTTTTACACCCAAGCAAATTTGGTCTCGCTAACCCCGCTAGCCCTGGTGGGATGCATTCTAAAAGAGCTACAAGGCATCGTCGAGAAGCTGAAGAATTACCCAACATGTTTGATCACTCTAAGCGGAAGAGAAAAGGAATTGATGGCGACGAATCTCCAGCTCCCTCAAGACAACGTATGGACAATGGCAGTAATACTCCGTTAGGGACATATGAGCGAAACGGTAATACATCCGCACAACTCGAAGCCCCAGCAAATAGCATCGAAGGTCTATTCACGGATAAAGAGCTCGGAATGAAATACAATGAGGCAGCTCAAGCAGCGTATAGTTATATGGTTCGACATCCACCATACGAAGATGACAATAGTCCTCAAAATGGCAGATCTGATTCTAGTCCCGACACTGACAAAATAAATGCAACATCTGGAGATGTTGAGAATGATGAATCAGATTCTCCTCAATCCGCACCTCAAATGGAACGTCAACCATCACACCAGACTAGGAGCACACGCGGGGCAGGAGTAAATTTCAATACAGGTACGGGAATTGATATTCTTAGTGATTTAGCATATCCTGGCAATATGGCAGCAATCACTAAACAGATCCCTAAATTACCACCACTTCTCGCATCGAATATGCAGAAAGGATATGTGAAAGGAGATGCTGCCAATCAACCACAAGGATTGGCTCCTGATGAGATCAATGCCGAATTAGAAATCATCAGAAGGGGTCGCACATACAATGATGAAAGGGGGTTTGGTAAAAATCTTGACTTGGAAAATGGTGGAAAAAGTCTTCTCGAAGCAGTCAGTACACCAAGAAGACCTCAAACCTATTACGTTAAAAGCGACAATAAAGGTACAATGCTCAGCAACTTGAGAGAAGAACTAGGTGCAGAAGCAATGTCAAAACAAAGTTCTAGAGGAGGTAGTGAAGTTGGAGGAACACCAATGTCAAGGCAGAATACTAATGATGGAACATCATCGAAAGCTGGTGGTCGAGGGAAGAAGAATCTTTTGATTTAAAGGGGAAAAGTTTATTACATTACTTTGTTCAGTTAGGTGTACATTGTTGGTCAATTGGTCATTAGAGAGCGTTGGCGTTGGGGGGATAAGGAATATCATGAGGAACATTAGATTCCGATTATCCATTCATGAGGGGGGAGGAGGTATGGGTATATTATATCATGGTTAGTTGTCAGTTAATGACGACTGGGAGTTTGTATGTAAATGTTTTCGTCGCTTCTAAAATTACTCTTTTGTGAGAAAGATATACTTTGGGGATTAAAGTGGTGAAAACAATCAGTTCATCTTTGATTGTCTATTTCATTTTACTCTTATCTCTACGAATTGAGAGAGTAATTCGTGTCTACCTACTAGGTATACATATTTGTACATGTATGTCTTGAAGTATAAGTTTGATTTGGATGTTCATTTTGATCTAAACTTTAATATTTATGTCTATGTTAACTTATTGGTGATACTATCTAGATGGGTGGGTGGGTTCTAGATATGGGGTATTGATTTGACTTAGAGATATATTTACAATGCGATTAGTAGTTATATTTGAATAAGTTGTTGTGGTATCAAGGAGGTAGGTTGGTAGAAGATAGGTAGGAGGTAGGTAGATTTAATATATCTCATATATTTCTTATTATTATAGGATACGAGTATAGATTCGAATGATAGAGTAAGTAGTAACGTGGTTTATCATCGAGTGGGCCATATCATCGAGTGAGCCACTTTTCCCTCAATTTACACTCTTTAATTTCAACACACGATTTATTAATTATTTATTATATAATCAAATAGAAAAAAAGTTTAAATACTTTTAGTTATTAAAATTATTCAAAAAAATAAAAAACTTAATATTTAAAAGACTATCAAACTATATAATATAATATATATAATATTTTTTTATAAAATAAATAATTTACTCTCTTATATGGAAATTCAAATAATTGATTTAAAAAAAAGATATTTATTCAATATATAATTAATGTAAATAATAAAGGATTTTCATTTAAATTAAATAGTATAAAAGATAT